GGGGGGGGGGGGGGGGGGGGGGGGGGGGGGGGGGGGGGGACGAGCTGGTTTAGGCAGAGTCCTGCCGGATGGAGCGGCGTGACTCCCCCGGCTGACTGTGTTGGACCTTAAGGGCACAGCGTCCTGCTGGCCCAAGGCCCTACCCTTTAGCAGTGCTGTGGAAAGCTCATGTCAAACCTATGCACCTTGAACTGTGCATCCTGTAACACGCCACCTAGAGGACAATCGCTCATCTACTGAAGTGTCGGGATTTTCGAGCCTTGATCACTATATTGGAGGGTTACTATTAAAAATGCTGCTATTTTTTTTTTTTTATATAAATTATGTTCTTTTTTTTTATTTTTTTTATGTTTAATTTTTAGTTTTGTGCACTACAAGCTAATGTACTTTTTGAGGGGAATTTGATGACCAAAAGTGTGAGAGGGAAAATCCGCTTCACGCTCTAGTCGTCTAGTGGGCGTCCTTGATCCAGATTATAATGCCGGAAATGAGAACGTGAGGAAGAAGAGGAGGAAGGACGCGGTGGAGCTGGTGGCGTTTACGTTTATGCGCGTGGCTCGGTTGTGTGCTGTCGTCTGTCCTGTAATTTGAATATCACAGTTACGCAGATGTCTCTTCCCAGCTAACCTGACTATAGCATCGTTGTGATGTCCCTCAGTTTGAGAATGCATTATGGACAGTGGCTATTTGTCAGTTCAGCCGTTCCTTTACTTTATTTTAGTGTTCTGGTCTGGCAGACTTGTCTTGGCAGCTTGGAGGATGGAGCTCGAACACTCTCTCTCATGTGTTCAGCGGGAACATCTCCTTTGCCGTGTTTCAGTCTGTAGCATGTACGGTCATTAAGGGAATATGGCATTTTGGGGGGCGGGGGGGGGTTACTGTCAGAAAGGGAAGATTGAAAGCAGTGTACAGTTGTTCTTTCCACAGCATAGCGGTATGTGTGTGTAGTTGCACCCTCTCTTGCTCCGAACAGTTAATCTCCAAACATTTTACACGACGGCATGCAAACTCCAAAAGAGAGCAGGTGTGCATCTACTCGGCATTCCCCCTCCTTCTCCATCGTGGTTCCCAGAAATCTGCTGTTTCAACGAGACAAGTATGTTATCGGATAATGTTTCTCAAAACAAGAGTGCCATTCCTCCCCCTCCGCCCTCTGTCCAGTGACACCCAGAGCCTGCTTGACACTGTAATGGTATAGCTAGCTAGCCACTAAATAGGGGGGGGGGGTATTTAAGTCTGCAGGGAGATTTGAATTTGGACAAAGCTTAAGACTGAAAATGTGGTGAATTTGGTAGACCTCCACAGTTCTGTTTTTTTTTGGGTCTTTTTTTTTTAAGTGGTGTTGATGAAGGTTAAAACCAGAACCCGAAAATGTATCTAGTTATCCAAACTGTACTAGTGGCTAAAACTGTCACCTAGTGAATTATTGTTGTAAAGAAATGCACTGTAAATGTTAAATCCCATGGGTTAAATAAACAGATATATATCAGGGATTTGACCCATCTGAGGAGATGTTTTCATTTATTTAAGTGATTCTTTTAGAATGTTGGAATTGTGGCTACTGAATGCTCTATAACAATACTCATTTATTAAAATTATCTGTTAAATGGTTTGTAAGTAAATCAATTGTGAAAAATTACATGCTTAAGATGAATTAAGGCAAGGTAGTGGATTTGAAATGACAAAAGTTTGTAATGCAACTTTAAATGCATTCATTCAAGCATTCAAGTTAAATTATAGGTTCTGTTTCATCCAAGTGGTGTCTTACTAACATTGTTTAATCTGCAACACCAGAAACAAAATGAAAATGTTGAAAGAGCAACATAGCAAAATACTTTATATAATTAAAAAAAAATATTGCACACTTTTAGAATTTTTTTTTTATTGATCCCAGGGGGAAATTATTGTGTGTACAGCAGCGAGCAAATAGAGCACAGACAAACACACATAAAGTGCAAAACAGAAAAGGTGCGAGGATAGTACACACAGTGCAAACAAGATTTAAAAGTACATGGTTCACAAATACAGTCCTGAAAAAACAGAATATTAGGCAGTATTAACAAATATTTGGGGAAAAGATACTAGAAAAGATGCTTTTGGGCGACAGCAATATATCCCCCAGACAGGTCTGTCACCCTCAATGCCCATCTAATCCCTACTCCTACTCTAACCTCCATCCTCTACAATTACTGAGTGGGTCAACTGGAAATGTGAAAGCCGATAAACCTGAATGCTCGGAGTTCTAGTCATAGCACACACCTGGAACTAGACTAATTCATTAATTACCATTTCACTTGCATGACAATTTGCACAATGACTGCGATTAGGTGGTTAACTGATTCTTAATCTTGTCTTAAAATATCATTTACTCCAATCAGCCATAACATTTAAACCTAATATCGTGTTGGTCCCCCTCATGCTGCCAAAACAGCTCTGACCCATCGAGATACTGGCTCCACAAGACCTCTGATGGTGTGCTATGTCATCTGGGACCAAGATCCTTTAAGTCCTGTGTGTTGTGAGGTGGGGCCTCCAAGGATTGGACTTGTTTGCATTTTAACCTTCATGTTGCTAATTTGTACATCTTTTGTTGCATAAAGACTAAAATGCACAGTGATTTATTGTCATAACGGCACAAATGGACATAAAATAATTATGCATTTGCACTGCTACGACAAGAAATTGCCACATATACTGCTTTTTACAGTGGATGCGTACTTGCTTACCAGATATGTACATTCCTGTATTTAGTGTACCAGAACTTGTGAGAACTGAAGCAAACAAAAAAGTTGTGTATTAACATTTAAAATTTGGAATTTAATATAACATTTTTCATGCCATTATACTATCCACATGGGGGGTGGTTCGTACACGTTAAATTTTGCCAAACAAAAACAGTGTAATATATCAACAATAGTTCTGTAATACTCTCTAAGCCTAACCAACACACTCACCATCTCTCAAAATCCTTATTGAAAGTCCAACTCTAATTAAATTTCCATACAATAAATTTAGCAGCGTTCCACATGATGAATTATGTCAGCAAGTACCGAACTGCTACCAGTAACATTTGCCGAACGGGGCGGCTGACAACAAAAGAAGCAATATAGACGTTATTTTAGAATATTCAGAAAATCATCTCACACTCCCAGTTTGAGAAGTACTGACCTATATAATGTTCTAGTGAAGTTTGGAAAAGATAAATACCTTCACGTTAAGGATGTGTGGATTAGTACTGAAATGATTGCTTCAATCTGAATGTTTCATGTTAAAATAACATTTTTTTGACCTGATAATTGGGCCACCCATGGGGGGGGGGGGCTTTCAGGTGCCCAGACACTATGGAATGATTGGCCCACCAGCATGGCAAATCTTATTGTCACCACTCCCCACCGCCCCCCAACCCACCCCCACTTGGCAAATTTTACCATCAGGGTTGGATTGGCATCAAATATAGGCATTAGCAATACCAACCTTGGCATTGGATCAAATTTAATTGGGGGGGAAAAAATAAAAATCAGCAGTAGCAATATAGACCCATCCCTACTTCACATTTACAGTGTGTGCAAGATGGCTTCTGCAGCTTCCATTTCCACCCTCTGCTGCCACCTAGTGTTGCTGCTTTCATTTTGGAGCAATTTGTCTCGGGTGTATCAGGTGTAGATTTTCATCCGTATGATGTCTTGTGAAGTGATACTATGATTCATCAAATATCAAATAGAGGAAATGGAGTAATGAGGCCAAAGTGTTATTTTGTCAGGCGTCTTCTGCAGTCACCGCGACCTTTGCTGCTACTAATCTGCAATGTTTCAGTTCTGGAGAGATTTGTCTCAAAATTTGAACAGGTCCAGATCTTCACCATTACAATGTGTCCGCAAAGGTTGAAAAGATGTCAAACACTTGTTATTAGAGTAATAAGATCACGTATCTGAAGCTGTCCTTCACTGCTTTTTTTTATTTTTGGTGCGATATGTCCCAAAATTAGAATTCTTTTTATCTTTAGCCATACAATATCTGTGAAGTTTGTGAAGTTTGAAAAAGTTTTGACAAATACTTACTATGTTCAAAAGACAAGTGTCTTCTGCAGCCCCCCTTTACTTCCAGTTCCACATAGCACTGTTGCTTCATAATTGGGGCAAGTTGTCTCAAAATTAAAACCGATATGAAGTAGTAATAAGATCTATCAAATTCTTACATCACATTCACTAGGTCACACACATATACACACATATGCATTGTGTGTGGGTGTTATGTCAAAAATATATATGTTTATATAATTTTCATTTTGATGTAAAACTATGATATTATATCTGTCAAAGTGTGTCAGCTTAGCCATTCCAAAACCTCTCCCAAAGTCGCCCCAGTATTTGGAGCGACCATCCAATGCACTCGCATAATTTTTTGACTCGACCACTGCCCCTAGCTTGTTTGACTAATGAATTGCTCATTTAATTTATTGATTGACTGGAAAAAGTTAGTGAGCCGTGGTGAAATCTAACGAATACTTGGAATGGCTGGGGCGCCCCTGAGCAGAGACTTGGGAACTGAAGCGGTGATCATCTAGCCGTCCAACAACATATCAGTGAGCTTTTGGAAAAAAGAAGAAATTTTCATTGTGTTGTCCTTAATTTGTATATTCGCTAATATTTTATTTTTTTTTCTGAGCAAATATACATTACTGCCCAAATAAACAGCTTTAAACGTTTCCTTTACTTGCCCATGACTTCTGGACAGCACAGCATATAAAGTGCTGTACAGTGAGCAATGACGTGGGGCTATTCTGATGTATCATTAATGCGGTGTGTCCTTACATTATTGGGTGGCGTCTCTTTATGCCAATGGTGCGGGTATACACAAGATGAGAGGACGTCAAGAAATGCACCTGTGCACAGTTCAAGCAGCTGTCCTGAATTTCACTTTACGTACCGTCTTTTAGTTATTT